AAGGGGATTATTAACTTAACGCTCTGATCCACACTGATAGGTTTTCAAAAGAAGCTGAGTTCGTCTCTGCGTGGACCAAAAAACGTAGGGAAATCTTGATTTATTTACCCAAAACTCTTAATAATTTGTAACTGTTACACTACAGAACTATTTAGCTTTCATACAACCGCGCGACAGTATTACTGCGGACACATCTGTGCCTGCAGCGTTGATGTTCAACAGCATGCCGATGGAGAGCGAAGTAAATGGCCGAAATAGTGAGTACTTAGTGATGAAAATTTCCTTACGCGGTTAGTTTGTCTTTTTATCAGTCTATTGTAGATATAACTGCGGTAAAATTTCCGTTCAGCCTCATAAAACAAATCTGTTTTCCCAATGGCAATTTATCGTTTTTGTGATTGTTTTCTCTATCCAAGAACTGAATGCATAATGTAGGATGGGCTGAGCGGAAATTTTACCATAACTATTACAAGTGTCCACGCAAATGACTTTAAACGCTTCAGTTTTGCTAAGTTCTAAGCAAGATGCCATTTGTAGTTAATTGCACTCGCTTCGTGTGTGCCAGATCTGTCAATTTAATGACAAACTCTTCCAAATTTTGGTTTGTCATGGAAGCATTCAGCTCGCTTAGTTGTATTATTTCGAAGCGTAACGTCTGTAAACCATGTGTTCGAATATATAATTGAGGAAAAACTCATTTAAGCTGTTTCATTGTAAGGTAACGTCAAAACAACGTCGGCATATTCATTTAATTAGTTTTTGTCTGATTTGTCCTATTGAAGACATTTTTATCAAATCGTCAGCTCGCGTGTGTGTGCGATGTCTCAAATAAATGCACCGTTTAGAATTGAGCGGAGCCTTTGTTTGGCAAATTTAAGTAATTATCAAACGAGTACATGGTGCTGTAATGGTAAAAAGTCTAGAAACGCTCCTCCCTTTCTTTCTGAACAAAGTATTGACATTTTTGTAGCCGTTAGGATCTTGTCACAACTATGAGCAAGTTTACTCCAGTCCAGAAATAAACAACATCCTTAATGTAATGAAAACTAACTACGCAATTTTTAAACCCAGACAGAAGAAATTTAACTCCAGCATTTCTCTCTCCTTTGGAGGTAAACCCCTACAACAATCTAATATAACTAAATTCCTTGGGGTCTATACTGATGATCATCTCACCTGAAAACACCATATCAGCTATGTATGTAAACAAATCGCTAAATCAATGGGTATTATATTTAGGTCTCGCTTTTTCCTATCCTCTACAACCAAGTTCACTTTGTACTACACCTTAATTTATCCTTAAATCGTCTATTGTAACTGCGCCTGGTCGTCCACATGCGTATCTAACTTAAATAGAATTTATTAGAAAAAGCGAGCTGTGCGGGCTATCACCAACTGAGACTAGTACTATCGAGCCCATTCCGCTCCTTTATTCTTCAAACTAGGAAGTTTAGATATTTTCTAAGTCAATTCGTTTGAAATCGCCAAATTCATGTTTTATTATAGAAATAACTTGTTGCCTCTATTATTTCTCAATCTTTTTGTAACGAATAGCAGAATTCACAACTATGGCCAGAACAGCCAGTAATTATCGAACGCATTTGTGCCGTACAAATCTCAAGCAATTTAAAATTCTCTACCAAGGTCCTAAAATTTAGAACTCTCTTCCTGTTTCAGTCACTCGTTCGTCAAACCTTCTTAGTTTTAAGACGAAAATGCTAGCGTTTTTACCTAAATAATCACTAAATTGGCACAGCCGCACATTCGCAGCACTTTTTCTTTACTTTATTTATTAATGTAAGTGAGGTGGCTCTCCCATAAGCCCGGTGGCTTCCTGGGTCTCCTCGCCTTCTAGCTATAACCGCTGTTAATATATTTTTTGTATTGTGTAAATAAGGCAAATAAAAGATGATGGTGATGAAGTTTGTTTTGCTAACACTCATCCATTTTAAAATCGTTCAGTTATCAGTTAATTGCGCCAATCATATTCCCCTCAAGCATCGCTTTTTTCAATAACAATGACTGTGTTATGAAAACAGTTGCAAAAACGCCGTTTTTATGCAATATAGCGTTTTAAGCGAGTTAAGATCAGTCGAGTAAACTGACGAATGTTTCGGGAAAAAAATCGTTTTCTCATGCGGGTGCACCATGTTTTCTTGGGTCATACTTGGCATATAAATTTCTTCCCGGTTCCCTAGAAATCGCCTGCACCACGGCAACAAATCATTCAATCAATCAATCAATCAATAAACTTTATTTTCCCTCGAATTTACAGTGTAGCACTCGGGTGCTAATATCTTCGAGGAAACTACATTAATAAATAGTTATAATAAAAGATTAATTCTATAACAAATAGGATAACTAACTACTTAAGGATAACTAACTAACTAAAATTGCCAGTGACGTTGTGACCTCGTTTTATTCTATTAAATCTATAGCGTGTAAGCAAACCAATTCTACTCGTCCATGCAGAGCTGAGTCCAACATAATAAAATGGAAATTCTAAGAAAATTAAATCAACGGAAAAAGACGAATGAATTTAACGCTTCTGCCTATTTAAAATAACATAATTCAAATCGGAGAACGATATCAAAGGACAAGGATCATAAATCGTTCTCAAATTCTAACAGTAAACGTTAATTTCGACAAAAGATGCATCAGAACTTCTATAAAAAAGAAAAGGAAAATGTCTTTTCTATCCTAGTGAAGCGCCATTATTCAGTAGCTTATTGCAGCTTTCCGCTCATTTGTGGAAAATAAGTTGTTACCACATTGGATAGGGTTTAAAAGCGAGTTTTTGTCGGGCGAGTGTCTCGGGATCGCACTTCTATTCACCCGCGGGTGCACCATACTTTCTCGGGTCAGACTTGGCGTATATTCCGTCAGGTTCCCTAGAAATCGCCTGCACCACAGCAAAAAGATTACTACCAGTGACGTTGTGACCTAGTTGTGTTAAGCCTTCTATTACGTCCTCGCCAATGCTATATTTCGTTTCATAAAATACTTTCTGATCAGGCACCAGATGTGAGTGCAGTCGAGGTTCGTCCACCGCCTCGGACAAGTCATCTCCAAACCAGAGTTTGTTCATTAAGACCTGCGGATGCAAAAGTATATATTTGCATTAGTACTATATGTGCACAGTAGTAGCAAAGAAGAGCCGGTTTAAATTCGCTGTGGGGAGGGGATTACTAACTTAACGCTCTGATCCGCGCCGATAGGTTTTCAAAAGAAGCTGAGTTCGTCTCTGCGTAGACCAATAAAAATAAAATATTTTCGTTTTACATTTTCGCGTTACTTTCAGCTCGTCACATCAAAAACGCACCGAAAATCAGGCAAAAAAAATCTGAATCACTGAGGTTTCGGAGGATACATTGATTCACTAATAATTGATCCGTTTCTCCCTCAGGTCATCTCTAACAAAACGTTGGGAAATCTTGGTATATTTATAGTTTATGACTGTTACACTAATGATCTCTCTATCTTTCATACAACCGCGCGACGATATTACTGCAGACACATTTGTACCTGCAGTGTTGACTTTCGACAGATGTCAATGAACAGCGCAGCAAATGGTCAAAATAGTGAGTACTTAGTTATGAAAATTTCCTTACGCGTTCAGTTTGTCTTTTCATTAGTCTGTTATAGACATAACTGCTACAAGTATCTTTAAACGCTTCAGTTTTGCTAAATTCAAAGTAAGATGCTATTTGTACTTGATTGCACTCGCTTCGTCTGTGCCAGATCTGTCAGTTTAACGACAAACTCTTCCAAATTTTGGTTTGTCATGTAAGCATTCAGCTCGCCTAGTTGTATTATTCGAAGCGTAAAGTCTGTAAACCATGTGTTCGAATATATAAGTGAGACAAAACTAGTTTAAACTGTTTCATTGCAGGGTAACGTCAAAACAACATCGGTGTGTTCATTTAATTAGTTTTATTCTGAATTGTCCTAATGAAAACATGTTTATCAAATCATCAGCTCGCTTGTGCGTGCGATGTCTTAAGTAAATGCACCGTTAGAATTGAGCGGAGCGGTTCTGCCAATTTAAGTAATTATCAATTGAGTACATGGTGATGTAATGTTAAAAAGTCTGGAAACAATCCTCCCATTCCTTATGAACAAAGCACTGACATTTTCCGTTAGGATCTTGTTACAACTATATGCAAGTTTACTCCCGCCCAGAAATAAACAACATTCTTAGCGATATTGCGTGAAATGGTATCCGTGGGCATTCGTAACTGGAAATGTCAGGCAATTTTTACCCTTGAGTACATTTTTTCACCAAATAGGTGCCTTCATCGTTTCCATTAACTCACAAGTTTACCCTCAGTTTTAAATTTATTGTTCAGATGTGAGCATTTGTTAGATTATAATGTCAAGGTACCTGACAAAAGTACATGTATACTTTTAATGACGAAGTGCTCTGTATCTTTTACGTTCGATACAAGGGGAAGGTATGTTTTTTGTTAGGGGATGGGGGGGGGGGTCGGGGTATTTTAGAAATTTTTTGCCAAAAAAGTCGAGGCCCTCCCACTTCCCTGAGTGGATTAATGCATGACCCTTTAAAAATACCTACACAAAAACATCTGACCCTCCCCCCACCTCTTCCAAGACAAAAATAACCGAAGGTGAAAATAACTAACTGGAAGTGTTACTCACAAAACTGCGTCAGCATGGACTTTCTGAAGAGAAAGTTGAGTCTCTTTCAACGTCAGAGCTAGACGCGCACAGCAGTAAAGTCACGGAAAAAAATGCGTGGGCTGTTGCTTAGGAGGTGTGTCTTCGAATTGACAACTCCCCAGCGCCACGGGGGTATATTTCAGCATTTTTGGGCGACCGACCATAAAATCAATTTTTCTACAAATATGAGTACTTGAAAGAGTATCTTGGAGTCACCAACAATCAAGAGTTCTGTTCCGGGGCATGAGTATTTTTCCAAGCTAGAACAATATGGGAGCCTCCATTGTGAGAAAGGAGAGCTTTATATGGAGTATAGGCGAATGTCATGTCAAGAGCGAAATAGCCAATTATGTAAATTTTGCGAGAAGGATAAGACTACCAGCGCTCTACTTCCAACTCGGCGACCATATCCCGACTGTGGCAAGCTACCAAACTTCCATCATCTCTCTTGGAGTGCAACCCCCACCAATGGCCGTGAGCTGGACGTTTTCCAGCCTCGAGCTCAGATTAAGCGATTGTTTGAGGAAAGTGAACTAGTCAGTTGGGAAAGTGAGGCTATTAGAAAGTTTTCAGATAAATACATTGTCCCCGAAAAGCTTGTGGAAGAGTATGTTGAGCACCTTGCCCAGATAAAAATGCGCAAGGAGAAGAAAAAAGGGGAGACTGAAAGGGAGCCAATGGAACGGCTGAACCGGGAGCACAATGACATTAACTGGGTTGGATTCTACAACTCCGATAAGCTGTCGTCCTTGAGGGTGGACGAGCTATCCTTGTACTTTTCCCATCACAAGGTCACCTTCAAAGGGACGAAAGCTGAAAAGGTCGCAATGATCAAAGCGCACATTGGCAGCTTGCTGAACGATTCAATGGAGTGTTGACAACCTCGGCAGCCCCTGCCAAGAAATATGTAGCAACAAGCGACCTCACCATTTTCCGAGGTTGAAACTGACTCGCAAAGTGATGTAGTAGATCGAGGTGTCGGTTCAAACCCGAGTAGCTTAAGTGACGAATCGTCACCGGAGACTGATTTTATACCAAAACCCCGTGCGGAAATATTACCGCGTCAAAATATGGACGAAAGCGGGCACGGGTCGAGAGAGACGATCATTCTAATTGGGAGAAGATAGTTTTTTTGATATAAAATTTCGACACCTGTAAACAATATAGATTTATCTTGACTGGTAGCTTTGCTTGTATATACAAGTTTTAGGTTTCTATACACTTCGCGTGTTTGTCAACAAATAAGAGTCAACTAAGACATGGAGTAATTTTTTCCTTGCCAAAATTCCCTTGACGAAATTATTTGTGATTTTAATTCCAGTAGTATTTGTAATTCCGTTGCATTGTACATTGATTCGAAAATCATCCAAGGTTCGAGATTTATTAAAGGAAACAGAAGGAAATGCTACTTGGAGAAGTAAGTGGCGGTGGTAAGAGCGGAAGTACGTTCAGTTGAAGTAAAATGTTCATCGGGTGAAGAGATATAGATCATGAATAAATCCATAAGCATCGTTTACGTGTGACAGGAACCCGTCAACGTCTCAGTATTATTATGCATATACAGACATAAACCGATTTACTGTTCCAGGCCGCCTCCATTTCTTTGGCTGGGAAATCCACATCAATAGAGCAACTTTACCACTGGATTTCCCGGTTCATAATAAAGATATGTAGGGTGCTTGTCCATTTGTTTCTCTGCTATGTTGATCTCTTCTCACTGTGGATAAATTTGGACGGAGTACCTATACTAATTAAATCCTAAGATTCAAGTAACGTAGAAAAAAAAGGATTGGACGTACCAGTGACACAGCTGTGGTTATCCTTTTCCCACCGGAGGCACCGATAACAAACTGAACTTTTCCGTCGTTATCGGTCAAAATGGTGGGACACATGGAAGAGAACGGTCGCTTACCAGGCTCAGGAAAATTGAATGGTGAAGGAGAAATATCACCCACTACGTCGTGACCAGGAATATCAAAATCTGCCATCTCATTGTTGTAAATGATGCCTGTTTCAGTGGATCGATATTTAGCGCCAAACCTGTTGGAAAAACAAAACAAAGGAACTTCATTACAGTTAGAGAAGCACAGGAAAATGAAGTGAAAATTTTACTAAACCGCTTTTGTTAGTCTGAAGATCTCACTGATAAAAAAATGTATATCTTATCAGACATTTTGGTGTATGTTATCAATAAGTGTTTTTACAAGTTGTGAGGTATTTTGTCGAGCCAGCTAAGCAAGCAAAAGTAAAAACGAGTTTTTTTACGGTACAAAGTAACCAGCTGTCCAAATATCGGTGATATTTGTACTCGATTCGCACGTTATTTGCACACTACTTGATGCAGTTGAATAATGAATTCAGGTAACTAACTGGGAAATGGGTTTCTGAAGTTATCCTCGCGTGAACGACGTCATCTTTCGAGCTGAGCCATGACATGACTTTTAGAGAGCTCTAAATAAGGGAACGATGACGAATACGAGAACGCGTTTTGACCGTGCGAGAACTGGTACTAGTGTCTCGTTCTCGTAATCGTGCTGGCGGAAATTTGGATTTGCAATTTGGATTGTAGACAAGGTCACGATTCCGAATACGAATGTTTTTGCTATGTTAAGCAAAAAAGCTATCCAAGGAGCACACGTTTACCTTCTTGGAGATGAAGAGATGACGAGGGAGAATTGTTGATTGTTTCTGAAATCGTTACAAAGAGGAGAAAGCATCCGCACAAGCAGTGAGGAAGGATTGCGGATATTTTTGACATCATTTTTTTTGAAGAATTTCAAGCAAAGTTCGGGTTTGGCATCACAGAACTACCCCTCTTTCCTTGAGCATTCAAAATTTGGTTTTGTTTCTCAAGAGCTACCATGCAAGTTGTCATCGTCTTATAACAACTGCAGCAGGCTCTTCTTAATTTTCCTTACCTCTATGCTTTGGTAACGAAAACCTCAAACGTCAAAGTTTTAGTGTGTCGAAAGCGATAATCATATTCCAACTATTTTCTTAATCTATGGGTGCTGCTGTGGTTCTTGCCGTCGAAGCAGGAACTATGAGAAGCTACCCTTCAGGGCCCTCAGTTATGGTGAACTCAAGGTCCATTGGTGCCGTCCACAACTCCAACTGAACTTGTCAGGACAACTAACCTCATATTAATAGTGGATGTCACAGAAACTGCGTCTCCATATTGGTCCAGTACAGCCACGTGTGTCGTACCGTAATCAGCGTTCGAAAAGGAATCCGCGTAATAAGATACATCCGTGTAAGTCTTGTTATCCCATATTTTTTGACGAAGGGCATCACCAAGTTCTGGCTCTAACATGTCTTTTGCTGTCTTTGAAGATAAAAGTAAAACTGCAACGTATTACCTGATCCCATACTGTTCTCTACACAATTCTTAAAGTGCTGACAGGGAGAATTTGTTTAAGAATAAAAATCTTCTTTAGTTGGTGATCATTTCCTTTATTCTCGTTACATTAATGTTTGATTCAAGGGTCAATCTTAGAGGTCAAACGGTTAAATGCAGTTTTTGATGTAAGGTCAATGTTCCGTTTACTGTAATTCCAGTTCAAGGGTAGTTCGAAAATCACATCGAAAAAACTTGCGCTTGCTAATGATATGCAAAATAGAATCAAGAAGAAGACTCCTAGTGAATCGAAATTTAGGGGGATCACTGAGGGGAATCCCATGGTTTTCAGCCTTTTCGTGGGGGGCGGAGGGGAGGAATTATTTTGACTGCCAATTAACTGCAATAAGGGGGGATCATAAGAATGTTACAGTGCATTACGGGGGATCAGGTGAATTTTGTCGGCACATAACCAAAATCCTACTACTTTCCTAGGCGAGGAAGGGAACTAGAATGAAAGTAGCTTTGCTTCGGTTGTCCAAAGGGCATGTTTGTTCTTCAGCAATGTGTTTTTGTACCATTATATCAGTAACTGTAAAAGGCTTGTTACTGATGAACATTTTGGTTAAAGTTTGACAAGCGTTAACCAAACAACCAGTTAGGCAGAAAATTAATGAGAATGTCAATTTTGTAACACCTGTAACATTTCACCTACCTTTACTATCCTGGAGTTAAACTCGGGATCTCCAAGCCGACTGCGCCACGCATAACTGAACTTAAAGGATTCAATGATTCGATGATATGTAAGGACTTTGGAGTTCTCGTCATCGCGAGCTGATGATGTCATGTTGTACCCTACAACGGAAACATTCCACAAAACGAGGCTGGTTTTACTAATCTTTCGGTTAAAATGTCACTTAATCTAGCTTGACACTGACTAACCCCTTGACTCCCATGAGTGACCTAGACAGAATTTCTCCTTACAATATTAATACAATATCAAGCAGACAATTAAGTGATGAGAATAGAGAAAAATATCAATTAGGGATTGTCAGTTGATCCAATACCAAATTCTCCAAACTAACATCACAAGAACCATATGGCGGGCAGTAAGGAGAATTACTATTGAGATCTTGGGCATTAAAGGATTAAAACAAGTTTTTGTAAGATGTTGGGTCGACCAAAACAGCTTTCTAATGTACATGTATTTGTTTTATTCTCATTCAGCTCCAGTAAAGCTAAGGTCGCACTAGCTTGTTTCTGACAGCCTTTGGACACTTGCCGGGTGATGGCGTGTTTTCAATTCATTCGAAACGCAATAAATATGATCAGTAATTTGAAGATTGCATAAAGTACTTAGAAGAGGAAATTTCCATATGTTCGCGGCGAGTCTTCTTTCTAAGAAAGTTAAAAAGTCTTTTTGTTAACAACTCCTACCTCTTAAAATGTTTAAGATCAGTGCCAGCACAGCGCCACTTGTGGGTGGTGGGGTCAGGTACATTGTCATGTTCTGGATGTTACTCCGGTATGGCACTCTTATAATCGACTTATAACGTCTTAAATCTTTGGCAGTCACGATCCCATTGACTTTCCTAATGTCACGCAATATGTCATTAGCGAGCGCTCCACTGTAAAAGGAGTCAGGATCGTCACGCACTCTTCCTAGAGTCCTTGCGTACTTCACGTTCTTAATAACATCTCCTTTTTTAACCAGCTTATTGTCTTTAAGGAGCAGCTCACTGAAATATTGAAAGTGGAAGAAGTGAAGATGTTGTTGGTATTGTTATGGCCGTTGGAGTAAAAAAAAACAGTTACCCTCGAGAAATCAAACGCCAGTCGTTTAAATCCTTACTCTGATTTTTAATTGGTAACCGATTTTTCTATACTCCCCCTTTATACTCTGTTTGGGACGGCTGATCCCCCTCATCCTGAAAACCATATGATCCCCTAAAAATCCTCCCACCCTTCCCCTCCACAGGCGATAATTAGACTGATTCCTTAGATAGTTCTCTTTGTGCGCATGATCGTGGCAATTCCACAACCAGTTCACTTGTTATCCGTAATCAGTGCTGCTTTTACAGCGATAGAGCGCGTGATTTACAAAAGAGATTGGTAACGAATTACTCTCACCTTAATCCTGGGTCTTTTCTAATATCTTCTTCGATATCTGTTTTGTTACTCAGAGCATCTTCCACAGCTTGAGTTACTTCAAATCCATATTTGGCCAAATCAATGGCGGGTTGAACCAGGCGTTCCCATGGTAACCGACCATGTCGTTTCCAAGCCTCGTACATACCGCGAACCTCACCAGGAACAGCGATGGACAGACCACCTTAAATGATATCAAGCAACGAAAATTTGATTTTGTGTGATCAGTGAACTGTAAAGATATCAATAGTAATTTTTATCGGTGGATTGGATATTAAAACATGTAAACCGATATATCAGCACTGATTAAAATTACGTTGATGAGTTTAGTTAAATCAAGTGAGCAATCAACACAATCTTGATTCTAGAAAAACAACAACGAATTTAAAAAGCGCCACAGTCAACTGAAAGAATTGACTGACCTGTCTTGGATTTATTTTGGTTGCCCTTAAACATGTTCTTGTAGGCTGTGGCTGGGGCAGTTTCTCTGAAGTCGTAGACAATGGCGTTCTCCGATGCTTGGTAGTACACCAACATCACTCCCCCACCTCCTATCCCTGATGAGTGCATGCTGACCACACCCAGACAGAACATGGCGGCGATGGCAGCATCCACTGCTGAACCGTTAGCTTTTAGGATGTAGTTTCCGATTTCTGAGCACAGCGGTGTATCCGTGGCAACCGCATATTTATCATAGATTCCCACAGATTGTTCTGTTAAATAAACAGCAAGGAGACCGCCAAACGCCGTCAAAAGTGAAGTCACGCCCATAGCCACAACTATTATGATCTTCCTAAAAAGAGAAGGTTTGGATCAAAGTATTGGCTTGAGTTTAGGTCGTCTAAAAAGTAAATGTTGGTGTTTCCCTCAGAAAAAGGAGGAGTTGGAAGGAAATAAAGTAAATCATAAAAATACGCCCTCATTAGCGTCCAGTTGTGGCGCACGAGTGGTGTTTACCATAAGTGAGACATTCGTATATAATAGACCTCCTTACATTGATAAATAAACCAGCCAAGTGTTTTTTCGGTCGAAAAGAAGTCCCTTAATGAATGCATCACATTTGTGATTTTTGTCACGCAAACGGAGCGACGGTTTCCACATGAGTTAATTTGTTTTGAAATTAGAATTTGAATGTGCATTTATTTTTCTTCCCTGGGTCAAGGTACGCACAAATTAATGCACATCATCGCTTAGATTTGAAAACATTTCTTAAAAAATTCGGAACTTCCCACAGTGGTATTTCCGATAAATGTGTTGGAAACAAACGTCACAATACATTTTGAAATGGTGAAGAGAGAAAATGCTACTCAGCTACATGTTAGATAAAAGATATCTTTATCAAGTGATATAAATGCAAATTTTAGTTGCTATTTAAAATAACATTCTGGTTGATTTTATTTGCGAGTTGTCGGGGTAAACAGTTTATACCTAGTTAACTTAGAATGATCTCCGCTAACAGCAGTTACAATCGAAATTATGAAAGCGATATGATGGAACATGATAAATACGTCCCAAGGATTGAAGTTTTCTGGGAAAACCACGTGGTATCACGCGATGTAGCAGAATACCGATCGAGTTGGAAAACTTATTGGACTACTCAGGTAGCAAATACTTAAATTTCGTGACACATTCAGGTTGTAGAATATTGCATTTATCTTTCGTGGTATTCCGTGTCATCACAGGCTGCATATTTGAAGTAAATAGATTTGAACATTTCGCAGAATGTGAATCAATTGCCGTGTCATGCTTTTCAGAAGTTTCCAAACTTGAGTCTTCTGTGTAAGTTCTTTACAACAGAAACTGCACATTGAACATTGCTTTACAGAATAATGAGATAAACTTTATACTTACCGTCTGTTGCTCATCGTAGCTTCCATTTTGCAACGAAAACCGCGCGTCTTAGGCGTTGCAAGTAAGTATAAAACTCGTGCTCGATTCTTACGGATATCCCTGAAACTTTAACCATACAAGCCCGTGCCCCTACCCCTAGGGATATGTACTCAATCTCTGTTGTTCTCAATTTACCTCGATTTATTAAAATGTTTTACAACAGGTCAGGTAAAAGATGCGAGCTCTGTTTAATTTGCCTGACTTGCATTGACTTTCTTGACTTATTTACTCCGACAGAAAATGAAATTAAAGATTTCGATAAAATGTTTGGATTCTTCAGGGAGAGTGTATATTCCGTGTTTGAGTTTCACAGTCACTTGATTAACAGTACACAGAGGTCAAGGTCTTTGCTGAGTCTTATTTTAACTCAAGGTCTTTTCTTCCGTTTATGGTACTCGAGTATGATATGAAAACCTTGCTTAACAACCTTCACGAAGAAGTATCCTGTTCTATGTGTATGACTAAATTTGCTGAACCAAAACTTGTTTGCACAGCTTCTGTCTTCACTGCTTGAACGGGATCTTACGAACGAGTAGCCACCATGATGTCTTTCTTTGTCCTGAATGCCAAGGAGAAGTTCGAGTTCGTAGCTGTACAAACCTTAAGGATCTGCCCACAAACTTTGGCATCAGCGGTTTACTAGATGTGCTGGCCATCAAAGAATGTCACACTGCTGGAGTGAAATGTGGAACCTAGTGCGACAAAAGTAGCAGACACAGTTCGTGCTGCATCAGTTTTCAGTGCTGTACGTTCTGGTGTGACGCGTGTATCACCGCGCATAGCATAACTCAAAGCGCATAAGGAGCACCGAATCCTTGCTCTAAAAGATTTCGAAGATCAAGACATGGAAGACTTGTAAGAGCAGCCAATATTTTGCTAACAAAAGCAACACAAAAAAGAAAAACTGAAGTTCTTTTGTATAGGGACTGTGAAATTGCTATTTGTGTTTCTTGTATTTCAACCACCCATGACGGTCACGCTAAGATACTTCTAGAAGGAGCAAGTTAACGCAAGATACAAGTCAAGTCTGTGATTGATTCGCAAAAGAAAAAAAAAATTGAGCGGAGGAAAACGAAAGAAAGTGTAAATATATTGAAGCGCAAGCTGTTGAAGCGAAACGAAACATCCAAAAGTTTTCTGTGGAGTTGGAAATAATGTATGCAATGTAATCGTTTTATTTCATGAATCAGCGTTTGCTTAGAGAATCTGTAACTTTAACGCCTTTTTTTTTTTTAAGGATTAAGTCACAAATTTGTTATAGGGGTTAAAACTACAGACGTCTAAAATGGGACCAGGATAATGAAGATTGCAATTTTTTTCAGGCGATAAATAATGACGTTGACCAGTCCGTTGTTGAACCTTCTCCAAGGGAGACAAAAGTTGTCGTTTGAAATGGTCTTTAACTCCACGATTCGATTAAGTCACAAATTTGTTATAGGGAAAGTTAAAACTACAGAGTCAAACTCAAACTAAAATGGGACCAGGATAATGAAGATTGCAATTGACAAACTTGAAGAAAATAATGTTAAAATGTTAGGAGGTTCAGAGAAAAATAATGACTTTTTTTTCAAATCTGGAAACTATCATCTTAGGAGGTTCAGAGAAAAATAATCTGCATACATTTGATTTGATTAATTTTAATTACAAGAATATTAACTGATACTAGGAGATTTAATAATATTAAAAAAATAATAAAATTTGGTTGAAAAATTGGAATTCAGCACAGGCTGGATAAACAAGGTTCTTAGAAAAAGAAATGCATACTAATGAAAAAGCTAAGCAAACGTTTTTTACAACACCTGCCTTTACCTTTATGGCATGTAGTAAAGTCTTTTGAAGTATAGTCATAAAACCAGTTTCATATGTTGAAAACACATGCACATGCAGATTTCCTGTAAACCTATAGTTTACGCCTGTGATGACTTCAAAATTTTGATGCACACCTCAAAAGGAGAACAAATAAATTTCATGTTTCTATTTATTCAGTTTAGGTTGGTGAGGTAAAATTGAGTCAAACATTCAAGATGTACAATGACAGGATCAAGAAATTTTTACAACTAATTTTTAAGATTAGCCTACCTGGAACAATCATCTTGGACTGACGATGCCCATCAGAACTATCAGTGGTTAGAGGGCAGGCTTTCCTTTCTTCATTTAAAGAAATAATGTTGTTATCATCTTTCCACAAGCTCAGTGGAAAGTGAGAGTGAATGAGACTGATAGTGTCTTTGTAACTTAAATAAATATCCAGAGCCAGGATAAAAAGTCAGACATGGTCTGCAAAACTCTCTTACTTTACTTTTTTAACCAATTGAGCTAAAGCTTTAAATTCTTGCTTTGTGATTAGTTAAATAAACTCACATATCTTGTGACCAATTCCTTATTTCAATGTTCAGTTTGGGTAGGACCATTGGTAAGAAACACCATGCATTAATGAAAGCTTGGGCTAGTGTATTTAATGCAATCTAAATAATAATATTACATGTTACAGTATGGTAACCAACACAGCAAAATTACATAATCACACAATTCCAAACAAAGGAAGTCAGGTTATTGACTTGCCTGCTTCAACTTTTGAGGGCTTAAGGTACAGAGAATTAAGACAGTAAACAGCTACAATTAATACAAAGTTGAAAATTTGAAGATAAGTGATGAGAATAAAGAAAAATATAAACTTGAGAATAATTAGTTGATCCAATACTAAATTCTTAGAACTAACATTATAAGAATTGTATGGTTGACAGTAAGGAGAATTACACATTTGAACTGGGAGTTAAAGGGTTAAATTTTATTTGATCAAAAACATGAATGTCAATAGAGGAAATTAGCTAGCACAATTCAAGTTTCCCCTCTTAAGTATTCTGTGATGTTTTTTCTATCACATGGTAAAGTTTACAGTTTCCCTCATTTCACCGTCTTCTGTTCACTTGTTTGTTTGCTTTCCTAACAATCTTAGCTATTGTTGCTAACAAATGCGAGGAGCATATACATGAAAATTTGTACAGCTAATAACACTTTAATCCCTGAGAGTGACTAGGATCTAATTTCTCCATTCAATATCACCCCTGAGTCACACATTAAGGTCATGAGAATAAAGGAAATGATAATCAATTGAAGCACATAAGGAAATATATAGAGAACAGTTTGGAGAATATGCATTCTGATATTGGAGTGTAAAGAGTTAAAGACATCATGTAATCAGTTATATATATGTAGAGTACTGTTTGAATATATGATTGCATTAAGTACAAATGCCAAGGAAACATCATTCTGTGGTCTTCTACTCTTCCACCCTGAAGGTTGCCTTGTGTAACAAAAAAAACCTTTTTAAAGACACCTCTACAATGGTACTGGTACACACAACTGACATGTATGAGTGAAGCATGTCAAGCATTAAGGTATGATTGTCAATTTGCCTTTTATTACTTGCAAACAGCTTACTTCTATCAGCCTTAAAAACTTCTGTATCCCCACTTTCAAAGAAAAGCATTTCCCATGAAAATTTAAGCATTGAAGACATAAGCTACCAGCAACAGGTTTTTCCATTGCAAGTGTTTCATATCATCAGATTCTCATCACATTTTTTTTGTTACTGGTACATTTGAAAGCATAAGAATATTTTAATCATTACAATATGTTGAAATCCCCCATTTTAACCCTTTAATTCCCATAAGTGACCAAGAAAGAATTTCTCCTTACAATATCAAAACATTATCAAGCAGACAAGTGATGAGAATAAGAAAAATATCAGTTAGAGGATTATAAGACGATCCAATACTAAATCCTCCAAACTAACATCACAAGAACTGTATAGGAGATAGTAAGGAGAATTACTAATGAGATCTTGGGATTTAAAGGGTTAGGTCCCACTGTTAACCTAG